ATCCCATTTTTAGTTTTCACATACGCTTTACTTGTTTCTTTGTTTGTTTGTTATAATTAGGTCAGAAATTTTCTAAAAAATAATATTTCTATTTATTTCACCAAACCATAAATTAAAATCTATCTATCTATCTATCTAAAAATAAAATGTCTATTTATTTCACCAACCCCTAAAAAACTGTGTATACACTTTTCTGATTGTTTATTTATTTACATAAGGTCAGAAATATTTTTAAAATATTTATATTTATTTCACCAGCACCTACAAAAATTTATTTTTCCAACTTTAGCATCTACATACACTTGTATTTATTTATTTAATCATTCATATATAAATAAATAATATTTCTATTTATTTCAACGAAACATTAGCATTTTTAGTAACTTCATATATTTAATTAATTAATAAATGTATTCATTTTATATTTTATTTTATTTTATTTTTAACGGAGGACATCAGTAAGTGGATGTTCTGTCAGATTCACTTCATTACTCTGGATAAATTTGTTGCCAAATTGCACGTTTACTATTTTATTCGTCTCAGTGTTCAGATGTCCGAGCTGAGGCTGTGTGTGCTTGTGCAGTGAATGGATGTTTGTGTGCATTTCTGTCTTCAGCACCCAGAAGAATAAGGAGTCCTCGCCTGTGATTGGTCAAAGAGGCATTGGACAGAACCAGCTGTCAGACCTGAGTCCTCACACGCTGCACAAAGGTGCGTTCAGTCTGTGCAATGCAATGAAATAGCCAAGCATTGAAAACAGTGTTCATTTTGACAGCAAATTTAGATTTTTGACTAAAATGCCATTTTAGTCATCTGAATTGTTTTAGTTTTAGTCAACTAAATCTACAGTAGATTTAGTCGGCTAAAATCTAATGAGTTTAGTTACAGTGTAATGCATTTATTAAGAATTCTCTAAAATTACGAAACTCAATGTATAGGTTTGGATTCGTTCTGAATGAATCTTTTCCCAAATCGTCCCTCCCTAACATTTTCGTCTCGTTTTTATTTGCTGACGAAAAAGGAGTTTTTGTTTCATTATCGTCAGTGAAAAAATGTTGTTGACAAATTATGACAAAAATTATCCGTCAACGAAATTGTGACCTTGGACCACAAATCCAGTCATAAGGGTCAATTTTTTGAAATTGAGATTTATACATCATCTGAAAGCTGAATAAATAATCTTTCCATTGATGTATGGTTTGTTAGGATAGCACAATATTTGGCCAAGATACAACTATTTGAAAATCTGGAATCTGAGGGTGCAAAAAAATCTAAATATTGAGAAAATCGCCTTTTAAGTTGTCCAAATGAAGTTCTTGGCAATGCATATTACTAATCAAAAATTAAGTTTTAGGTACGGAATTTACAAAATATTTTCATGGAACATGATGTTTACATATTATCCTAATAATTTTTGGCATAAAAGAGAAATGTATAATTTTGAGCCATACAATGTATTGTTGGCTATTGCTACAAATATACCCCAGCGACTTAAGACTGCGTTTGTGCTCCAGGCTCACAATTAACACTGATTGAAAACAGCAATCGATGCATTTCAAGTGAATTTAATTCATAATCATGTTATGATCTTATGATATGATGCTGCAATTAATATACACTTTTCCTTCAGTTTCCAAGAAGCTGGCCCCCATCCCTCCCAAGGGTCCGTACTCTCCGTCGAGCTGCATGTCAGATCTGTCTCCGGGTCCGTCTCCGGTCAGTCTGTCCCCGACGCCCCCCAGCACCCCGTCCTCATACAGCTTCAGTTACCCGCAGAGCGGCTCCGTCCTCACCTCGCCCGGACACAACCACAGCCAGACGCTCGCCGGGACCCTGCCCAAATCACGGCCCAAACCGCCCCGCCAGAGACCCAGCCTGCCCCCCCCGCAGCCCCCGCCGCTGGACGCTCTGTCCGCCGGGGAGAGCATGTCTACAGGTACAACACTGATTTCTGGAAATAATCAGGCTCCGTTCCGAATGCTAGTGAGTGTTCTTCCTGTCTGCTCAGGGCATGACGCTTACCTTTTTCCCAAGGAGCTCCTAAGTTGAAAAACTGAGGAGCACATTCAAAAAATTTTGCAAATTTTGCAAATTATGTGTTTTAGCTTAAAGGCACAATATGTAATTTTCGCCGCTAGAGGGCGCGCATTCAAAACAAACAAAGAAACAAAGGCTAGTTTGATGACGCCGTGACTGAGTGTGGAATCATGGGAGTTGTGGTCTTCATCTCTACAGCCGACACAATCCGACGGGACTCGGGCAGAAATCATGTTCATGGATGAGCTAATGATTTATTAACGTAGTAGAATGAAGCAGGGTGCGGCTGAAAGCCGTAGAAGTGGAACGAGGCACTGAACGAGCACGAGACACGGCTGGAAAGCAGCGGAGCTTTTATTATGCCACAGTCGAGCGCTTCCGCTGCTTCCGGTCGTGCGTATGTGGGGTAAAGCACTATGGACACGCTCCGTGTCACTAGTTAAAATTGCTTATTGCTTATTAATTAGCTTATTCTAATTGCTTAGAATGTTTCTTATTATTTTGAGAAAATAAGTAATTATTTCGAGAAAGTTTCTTATTAGTTCAAGAAAATAAGTCATTTCGAGAAAATAGATAAAATTATAAAAAAGTTTCTTATTATTTCAAGAAAATAAGTCATTATTTCGAGAAAGTTTCTTGTGCTTGTGTGTGTGCGTGTGCATGTGCGCGTGTGTGTGTGTGTGCGTGTGCGTCTATTTTGCTCTCTTGATATTTTAGAGTCACCCCTTGATTGCGGTGCACTTTTGTTCTGCACAGTGTCTGATTTGTAGTTTGTACCACCAAAAGATTCTCTGAGTTTTCTTATTTTTTTGTATTTCACATTTCCCAGCCAAGAGTGACACTTTTTTTTTTTTTC